AAAGAGGAGAGGCACCCGATATATGTTCTCTAGGCCTTTTAGAAAACATGGAGTTGTCCCTTTGGCAACATATATGTGAATCTACAAGAAAGGTGATATCGTTGACATTAAGGGAATGGGGACTATTCAAAAAGAATGCCTCACAAATGTTACCATGGCAAAACTGGAAGAGTCTACAATGTCACCCAGCATACCGTTGGCATTGTTGTGAACAAACAAGTTAAGGGCAAGATTCTTACTAAGAGAATCAATATGCATATTGAGCATATAAAGCATTATAAGAGCAGAGGTAGCTTCCTAAAAGGTGTGAAGGAAAATGACCAGAAAAAGAAAGAAGCCAAAGAGAAAGGTACCTGGGTTCATCTAAAGTGCCAACCTGCTCCACCCAGAGAAGCACACTTTGTGAGAACCAATGGAAAGGAGCCTGAGCTACTAGAACCTATTTCCTGTGAATTCATGGCATGATGGGTGTTAAAAATAAAGTAATCTGTGGTCTATTAAAAAAAGAAAGAAATGTACCAGAACCCAGTTGCATCCATTAAACATGTATGGAGGTTGTTTGCTGACCTGTATACTATGTTAGACCCCAGGGATATTATCCCAGCCCTCAAGAGCTTATAAACATTTCAAGGCAGATAAACACTAAAGTTAACAAGATACCTGCTGTGATGTAGATGTGTGTAGTATGCTGTGGGAACGTAAAGGTTACTGTCTAGTATGAGAGGAAGTTTCCTAGAAGACTTATAGTTTGCAGAGTATTATAAAAAGTGAATGATTTAGTATTAAAGTCATTGTTTTAGGGGCTAGCAGGTGGTGTGCTGGTTAAGGTGCTGGACTCCCACATGACTGATTATGGTTCAAGTCCTATACCTGGAAGCTTGAAAATCACACAGTATATGTGCATGCATGTCTGAAATCCCAGAAGGAGAATGGAAGAGAAGGGATTTTGGCTTGGCCATCCCCCTGGGAGGAGGGGTGCAGGGGCTGCTGGGCTGCTGGTTTCTCACTTTTCTTCTCTCTCTAATGAGTACATGCACCTTATAGCAAAAAAAAAAAAGAAAGAAAAAAAGAAAAGACAAGTCTTATAATCCTATAAAAGAATTTGACTGCATACTACCAAGTCTTGTGGATTTTTATACATCTTAATTTGCCACTTTTTAAAAAAATTCAGTTTCTTTCTAGTCTCTTGGTTTCTAAGACCATTCCATTATGAAACACCAACTATAATTTTTAAAGGATTAAATTAAAAGTCAAATTGAATTATGGAATTTCCATAATCTTAGTGTGTTGCATTCTAAAACAAGTTTCCAGTAGTAAACCTTATGTTGATTTAGACCTTCTAGTGTGGCGATTAGGGTGGATATGATATGGTACAGTGTCAAGTGATAATATTCGTGTTGCCAGAAACCCTTTACTCCCTTATAACTTCAGTTTATTTTTTAGGATGGTATATTAGAAGAACAATTACGAATGTATCTTCACTGTTGTTTGATGCTTTGTGATTTCTGGGAGCCAAACATTACAATTGTTACCATTCTATGGGAATATTATAGCAAGAACCTGGTGAGTAAATAGAATATGGATTTGCTCCAGAAATTTGCAGAGTCTCTACATAATAATTGAGGTCCATTTATATATTGTAATTGTGAATAGCTATGGATTTCTCTTAAAAAGTTAAGTTTTCAAATTAGGTCGGAGTAGCTCAAGAAGTTTTATCTTTCATAGACATCGTCTCTGGACAGTTGGCATAAGGAAGACAGCATTTGGTATCCCTTTTCTCTTAAGAGCGAGTACAAACATAGCAGCTAGAATTGTAGCAAAAAGACACTTAAATCCTCATTTATAAATGTTTTCTAGTAATTATTGATTGCTGTGACACATTGAACAGGCACTGCTATCCTTAATAATATACAACTTTGATACTTGAGTAATAGGCTACTGGGCAAGTACATAACCTATTGTGGGGAAAGGTTAAAATGCCGTGGAACAGCAGAAGAGGGAGTATCTAATCCAGTGTATGGAATTGTAGAAGACTTTGTGAGGTCATAATTTTTAAACTTAGCCTTGGGACTGAGTAGAAATTCCTAAGTACAGAAAAAAAAAGCAATATAAACAAACACATGGAGATATGGAACAGTGTGGTTTATTTCTACAAGGTTACTAGTTCTAGTGATAGTCAAGACATGACTGTGGAGAAAGGATAGAGGGAGGATAAAGAAGATAGTCTGGTGTTAGACTTATGAAGGGTTGATGATTATCTGCTATTGTGTTCTTATTTATTCAAGAGACATTAGAAAGCAAAGATATCAAGCATTAGATATGTGTTTGAGAAAGTTTTTGTAAATAATTGGGTATAGATGACTAATCTGTTATAGCTGTATAAATAAGCAATACTATGGCTGAGAACTGAAATAGGAACAAAGAGTTTAGAAAGGAGATGATGAATTTGGGAAATTAAAATTTTTACAGATAGATTTAAAGCACTTAGTTACTTATGTGTGGAGAAAAGAAGAAATTTAGGGTGTTGGGTTTGGGGTAGTAAGCTCTCAATCAAAATAGGAAACTGCAATGGAATATTTACCAATAAATAACCAGGTTTGGATTTATGTATAGTGGAGCTTTTTTTTTTTAAAGAATTATTTATTTTACTTTATTCATTATCATTATTATTCTTTTACATGTTTTTACCAGAGAGAGAGAAAAAAAAAAAAAAAAGTGAGAGGGAAAGTGAGAAAGCAAGCCGCCAGGTCCAGGACTTGAACCGTGGTCAGCCTTGTTGGAAGCCCAGGACCTCAACCACCATGCTACCTGCTGGCCCCTATAGTGGAGCTTTTTTAAAATGAAAAAAAGGGTCAGCTGGTGTTGGAATGGTAACACAACACTCTTCAGTGCTGGATCCACATGAGAAGGTCCTGGTTGCACATCCTGAGGCCTCCTTGGACACACCAAGCACACATCCTTGCCTATGATCTAGGCTGGCTAAAGCTGGGACCATGGCATAAAAACTCTATTGGGGATTCTCTCTCTCTCTCTCTCTCTTTCTCTCTCTGTTTCTGTCTCTGTCTCTTTCTCATAGAAGAAATAAATCATGATTTTTTCGAATGACAAGAATTACTTTCCCTGAAGCTTAATGTTAATCTGATTGGAGAAATGGCTGATTGTAGTTCTGTGGCAGACTGTGTACAGAGTGAGTCTGTAGTATTTTCTCTTAATATAAAATAGGGGAAATATCAAAGTAACCTTACAACCATGTCAAAAGGACTCAGAGTTAACTTAAAGGAATTCCCATTGCCCAAAAGAATGGAAAATTTGAGCCTAAGAAAGGTTAATGGCTTCCATAGATTAAAACATAACAACTATGTTTAAGGCCCTGAGTACATGATACTTTAAAAATATTATCATAAAAAGCTCTAATCTGAGATCAGCAAATGGCATAATGATTACATTGCTGGACTCCCATATAGTTCACTATGGTTTGAGTGCTGGACTCGTCAGTTTAAAACTCAGACCAAGTGTCTGTGCATGCATGCCCAAGATCCTAAGAGAAGAATGGAGGAGAAAGGGATTGCGTCACAACCATCTCCCCCGGGGGAAGATTTCTTGCTTTCTGTCTCTCTCTTTCCTGTGAGCTCATGTGCCCTATGACAAAAATATCTCTTAAAAAAATAATAAATAAGGCATGTGGACAGTGGCCATCTATAGCTGCTAAAACCAGTAAATGAAAAACCGATAAGGATCACCAAAATGAATGGGTCAGGCTAACAACTTGATCAGTCTCAACATCACAGGAAGCCAGAACTTATATTCGCTTTACTAAGTACAGTAAGAAGTTTTCAGCACAACTAATGAAAGATTCTAGCCAAAAAATTCTACGAATCTGATCAGGCCTCTAGTTACAGCCACTAATTTTCAGAAAAGATAGGATTAAAGAATATGTTAAATGATACTAGAGGAATACAGAGCCCTGGAAATTGTACACAACAAATGATCAGATAAAATGGCGCAACAAAAATATCAGGAAACTTACAGAATAAAAGAGCTTTGAGAGTCATATCAACTGAGTGCACTGTGTGGACTTTGTGTGTTTGGTTGGTTATCTGGATAAACAACCGTTAAAAACACATTTTAGGGACTGCAAAGTTTGAAAACTCCTTGATGTTTTATGCTTTTATGGCATTTTTATTTGGGGGGATATGTGTTAATGGTTATGTAATTTGGGGGATTAAGAAGAGTCAGACTTTTAATGAACTAATTGATCTTTTAGCTTTCCATCTTATGTAATAAGAAACTAATGCTTGTTTTCTTTCTTTTTTCTTTTTCTTTTTTCTTGCTTTTAGAATAGTTCCTTCATTATTTCTTGGCTTCCTTTGAAAGGACTTACAAATATCATTAAGTCCCCCTTGTCTATGCTTGAAGTGGTGAAGACCTGCTGTTGTGATAAACACGATCACAGTCTGTATAAATCCAGCAGTAGTTACACCATTTTCCTTTGCATTTTGGCAAAAGTTGTTAAAAAGGCAATGAAGAACAATGGCCCACATCTTTGGAAACAAGTCAAAGGAAGGTTTGTTCTGTATTTTTCTATATCATAAATGTTACTATTTGCACTTTTTAAAGTTATCTTGTGGTTAGAACTTTCATAGTTTACATATTTATAATGCATGATGATAAAATATAAAGCTTTTTCCATTTATTATTATAAGGAACAAATCAATTATCTATACCTTGTAGAGGATTTTAAACTTGTTATTTATCTCATCAGTGCTAAAGATTGAAACTATAAATGAAATGCAGGGATATTAGAAAACTATTAGATTTTTTTTCAAAAATGAACTGTAGTGTTATTAATGTAATCTGCCATATACATTTTATTAAAAGTGATAAGGGGAAAAACGTCTCCAAATTACATTGGAAAATAATTGGTTCAAAACATGTAATTTTTGCCTTTTTTTCATCAAGCAGTTCAAAAGCACTGCTTCTTTGAGAGCTAACTGGAGTGTAGTAGAAATAGATAATTCAAATGTTCTCATTTGGAGAATGTGCCTAGTTTTCATTTCTGGTGTGATAAAGTAAACCTTGCTCACAATAGTCTGTTGTCCTCTCATTTTCCCCAACCCCTTTTCTCAGAAAGTACTGCACAAAGAGGGATTAACTGGAGGCTATAGGCAAAGGAAGTAGACAAGGGAAGATGATTTAAAATTGTAGCCATTAAACAAGCAATGTTTGGTAGAACCTCTGCAGGGAGCAGAATATGTTTTATTTCTAGAAGCAACTTCTCTAGAATTGGTTAATGAATTTCTGTTTGATTCCCACAGTGAGTAGTTCTTGTAAGGATATGGAAATCTAGCTTGAATTTTTTTATTTAGAATATACTTTAGAAAATAGCAGCTTCCAGGCTAGAAGGTAATGTGGAAGTTAGGGCAGCTAGATTCCACATGGTCATCTGTACAGTTTGAGTCCAAGACCTCGCAGCTTGAAAAACAGGACAGGCGTTGAGTGAACGTGCTCAAAATCAAGAGGGGATTCAGAATGGAGGAGAAGGAATTGTGGCATGGCCATGCCTCACACTCCTGAAGGGTGATTTTATGGTTTCTCTCTCTTTGCCTGCTTCTCCCTCTCTGATGAGCGAACACACTCATACCAAAACTATGGAGTTTTTTTTTTAGTGCTTCCTTATTAAACCTTCAATAATCACATGGCTGCTGTTTCTTTTTTCTTCTTTCTCTTTAAATCTTAAATAATTTTATGTAAGACATAATATCCAGAATTTTATTGCCGAAAGAAATCGCTAGGAATTCATAACAATAACATAATAACATAAATCATTAGGATTTCATAACAGTTCAGTAATAAGTCTGTTTATTATACAAATATTGTGTGTTTAACAACAGATTGATGATACGAAGATAATTAAACAGATCTTCACTTTTAAGAGTGTACCAGCTCTTAGGTAGTTTTTGTTGTTGTTGTTTTTTGGTTTTTTTTTTTTTTAAGACAGATTTTTGCTATAGGGTGTATGCACTCACCAGAGAGACAGAGAGACAGAAAGCGAGAGATCACCTCCCTGGGAGGATGGCCACACTGCATTCCCTTCTCCTCCATTCTCCTCTCAGGATCTTGGGCACACACACCCACGTACCTAGCATGGGTTTTAAGCCACTGGTCCAAGACTTGAACCATGGTCAACTATTGAGAGACCAGCAACATAACCATTACACCATCTGCTGGTCTCATTAGGTGATTTTTATAAATGAATGTTTACCTTCTGTGAGCATCATTTTTGTCCTGAATAAATCTATCGTAGAAATTGCAAAACTTAATCCACAAGTGGAAATTCAAGGTGAATTACTGGGTTGTCGGAAAGTCGTGACAAATTTTTGCATAGAAAAGCATAGAAAAATATGTCATGACTTTTTCAGTGACCTGATGTTTTTAATACTGAGCCCTTAGTTATTGATACAAAAGTATGTCAACTATTAAGTTGTATTAAACAGTACTGATGAGGGATTTTTTTTTTTAATGGCTAAAATTTGGGATTTTTGCAATAAAAAATATTTTTTTGTTTCTCTCTCTTTGCCTGCTTCTCCCTCTCTGATGAGCGAACACACTCATACCAAAACTATGGAGTTTTTTTTTTAGTGCTTCCTTATTAAACCTTCAATAATCACATGGCTGCTGTTTCTTTTTTCTTCTTTCTCTTTAAATCTTAAATAATTTTATGTAAGACATAATATCCAGAATTTTATTGCCGAAAGAAATCGCTAGGAATTCATAACAATAACATAATAACATAAATCATTAGGATTTCATAACAGTTCAGTAATAAGTCTGTTTATTATACAAATATTGTGTGTTTAACAACAGATTGATGATACGAAGATAATTAAACAGATCTTCACTTTTAAGAGTGTACCAGCTCTTAGGTAGTTTTTGTTGTTGTTGTTTTTTGGGTTTTTTTTTTTTTTTAAGACAGATTTTTGCTATAGGGTGTATGCACTCACCAGAGAGACAGAGAGACAGAAAGCGAGAGATCACCTCCCTGGGAGGATGGCCACACTGCATTCCCTTCTCCTCCATTCTCCTCTCAGGATCTTGGGCACACACACCCACGTACCTAGCATGGGTTTTAAGCCACTGGTCCAAGACTTGAACCATGGTCAACTATTGAGAGACCAGCAACATAACCATTACACCATCTGCTGGTCCCATTAGGTAGTTTTTATAAATGAATGTTTACCTTCTGTGAGCATCATTTTTGTCCTGAATAAATCTATCGTAGAAATTGCAAAACTTAATCCACAAGTGGAAATTCAAGGTGAATTACTGGGTTGTCGGAAAGTCGTGACAAATTTTTGCATAGAAAAGCATAGAAAAATATGTCATGACTTTTTCAGTGACCTGATGTTTTTAATACTGAGCCCTTAGTTATTGATACAAAAGTATGTCAACTATTAAGTTGTATTAAACAGTACTGATGAGGGATTTTTTTTTTTAATGGCTAGTCTTGGACATTTGAGCAATAACAATTGTTTTATGCAGGTAGGTAAAAATAATTCTTAAGTGCCTTGAGTTGCCATAGGGTATACAAGTGAAGCAAGAGCAAGTCTTTGAAAGGGGTAGAGAGAGAGAGCATTTAAGGAAAATTGTGATGCAAAATTGTTCTGTTAAAATTTGTGCAAAAGCACATCAAATTATGCTTAAAATGTTAAGTATTTTTTTCTTACTTGCCAATAAAAATAAAAAAGGTAAAGGGGGACTCAAAGGGAAGTGTGTACTATATAAAAACATATATTGTCCTTTTGGGAAAGTTGCTGGAAACCATTGATTCACTTATAGATGATTAGGTATTATATTGGGAAATTTGAAGTTCAGACTATTATGGGAGTTTGTTTTATAAATAGATAAAAGTGACAAGGCAGCATCAGAATGAAATTAGCTAAAAACACACAGTTAATGAGGTTGTCACAAGTATTGAATAAAATTTTTTAAGCTTGATTTCTAGTGAACAGTTTATTAGAAGTATTTCTTATGTTTTACAGAATATATTCTAAATTCCATCAGAAAAGAATGGAAGAACTAACTGAAGTCGGTCTACAGAACTTTTTCAGCCTTTTTCTACTACTAGCAGCTATTGCAGAGGTGGAAGATGTAGCAAGTCATGTTTTAGACCTCCTGAGTTTCCTCAAGCCTTCCTTTATGACCTCTCAGACAGCCCTCATTTGGAAGGGTCAAATGGCCTTCCTCTTATTGTATGCCCAGAAAAATCTGGACATTGGTGTTTTGGCTGAGAAATTTTCAAGTGCTTTCCGGGAGAAAGCAAAGGAGTTCTTAGTATCTAAGAATGATGAAATGGTACAGAGACATAATCTCTGGACACTTCTTTCCATCTACATTGATGGTGTTCAAGAAGTGTTTGAGACCAGCTATTGCTTATATCCTTCCCATGAAAAACTGCTTAATGACGGATTTAGTATGCTTCTGCGAGGTTGTCGAGAATCTGAACTTAGAAGTGTATTGAGCTTTCTACAAGCTGTTCTGGCCAGAATCAGGTACGTTTCCAGTAATGTACTTACTTATCAATTTGTTCGATATTCTCACTTAGGCTGATTTTAATATTAAAGTTTTTTTGACATACCAATAAAATCCAAATGTTAGAAAGATGGAAGAGTTAGTTCTACTGCTCCACTGGCATAAATTGGCAGTTTCCAAACTGTTCTTTTAAATAGTTCTTTAGAAGAATGCTTATGTGCAAACACAAGCAGTAAACCCAAACTTGGAGTAGTTCTAGTAGAATCCATAGCCTTGGCCACATAACCCTTGCTTCTCCTGCTGTCTCTCATAGACTAGTATTAGCCAGAGGTATGTTTCAGGTATATATCTAAGCAAGACCGTGAGCTCAAACCTTATAGGCAGTTGTGTGCCCCCATATGATGACTATGGCCACACTTTTTTTTTTTAAAGTAAATTTCTTTGAATATTTTGCTGCAAAGTTATAACATCATATATTCTTACAACTAAACCGCTTTATTCTGAAATTAAGACAGGATTAATTTGTTTATAGCACCAGTCACTTATACAGAATTTACTGTTTTCAGATCCATTTAAGTTAAGTAGATATTTAAATGTACATATATGGTCAGACTCAATGATGAATGCAGACCATGGTTATGGCATTTATTGCCTTAAAGGCCCTTTTCACATAACAGTTTTACTTTGAGGTACATATTCTTAAGAAGTTAGACATTACCAGTCAGTATAGTTATTCATTGACATTGAAAACTTTCTAAAGGCTGTGAATAAAAATAGGATTTAATTTGAAATCATCTCTGAAGTTAACAGGAACACTGCTTTCTCCTAATAATTCGTAAAAGTAACATCTAATTTTCATAGGGACTAAGCTTAGCAGAATTTACATATGTAGGAAATGTATTCATTATCAAATTTATTAATAACTTCCTTAATGTGCTTTATCCTGGGATATGTGTTATACTGTTTTGTCTGCACATTTTTATTCTTCATTATGCCTTATGTAATTTTTATATTCATTTGCTGTTGTCTGTTAAAGTTGTGAAGATTCAGACCAGGTTCTTGAACAGTTAATTATCCCCTTCACAATGTAAGCTATATTAAAACAAAAATCCAAAGCCCTCAAACTTAATTTTAAGAATTGTTTTATGTATTATTTTTTAATTTGACCAGAGAAAGAGAGGTAGAGGGAAAGTGAGAAAGCAAGCCACCATGTCTGAGATTCAAATCATAGTTGGCCATGTAGGAGCCCAAAGCATTAGCCACCA